AGTGGTCCCCTTCCCCCCAAAACTAAACAGGCCTGGAGGGGCTCTGGGGGCACCCTGGAGAGAAGAGGGAAAGGCATACAGAAAGGACATAAGAACACAACCGAGGGGGTAGGAACTAGGAGTAAAGCAAAGGCTGGGTGTAAACGGTCATGCTGGGCTGGCCCGGGGCTGCTGAGGGCAGCAGACAGATCAAGAGCCTGAGCTGGGTCAGGGAGTCCCCAGACGAGCCCCCAAGCACGAAGAACTCTGTTCATCTGGCCATCTTTCTGGGATATGCAAAAGATGTGCAAATCAGCACGCAAATCCTAGCAAGACCGAGGTGCCCTGGTCCAAGAGGGCTCCAGGGCCAGGTGGCACTCACCGAGGCCCCCACTGCAGAGGCAGGCATGGGTTCGGGGTGCGGGCTTGGTCGGGTGGGTGTCTAGGATCTGCTGCACCAGCTGCTCCACGGAGAACTCCTCTGTCCTGTTCCCACAGCTCCACTTGATGCCATGAACTGGAAGAGTGGTGATGGTGTGGTGGGGGGTGCTGTGGGACCTCCAGAGGACAGTCCCCAAGGCACCATGATGGCCCCCCAAGCCCCAGGATGCAGCTCACAAATGTCCTTCAGCCCCTTCTCCATTACTTCAAGACCTCAGAACACCCCAGGCATCCTTGCACCCTCTTAGGGAAGTGCTCTCCAGGCCCGGAAGGACCTAGTCACCCCACACTGATGGATGCAGACCCCGGGTCCTCCAGGATGCCCTGTCTCACTCCTCCTGTGGGCGCCATCCTAACCCCGCCGCCTTACACATGGGCCTCAGCTGCCCCAGCAGCTCCTCCCGGGACCACTTCAGCCACTCGCGACGGTCGCTGCTGACAGGACAAAAGATGGGGCTGCAGCCTTTTCCACAGTCCTCCAGGGCAGGGACGTTCAGGTAGTGTACAAGCACGATGTCAGGGTTCTGAGAGCACAAGGGCACACACAGGGCTGTGGGGTCCCCAGGGGCTCGGCCTCCTTGTGCCTTTCTCCCCAGGCAGCACCCCCACCTCTGAACTCCGGATCCCCCATCCCCCATGCCCCTTGCTCCCACGCAGACCCTAGTGGTCCTTCCAGCCATCGTCCCAGACCCCATGTCCCTCTGAAAGCCAGGGAGCCTCTGGCTGCCCTTACCTGGAGCAGCCAGTAGCAGCGCCGATGGAATGTGGGGACGATGGAAGAGTGAACGTAGCAGCCATAGAGACACTGCCAGGAGACAGGCTGGGGTGGGGGGAGGGCTAGTCTGCTCCCCAACTCTTCCTCTGTTCAGTCCCTTTGCAGGAATCCCAGTCTTTCCACCAGCCCTTGCCCACCCCCACCCACCCCCACAAACACCTTCCTGGTCCTGGTTCCCCGTGGATGAAGGTGGAGAGAAGGGAAGAGTGGGGCTGGGGCCTCAAAGTGTAGGAGGGACTGTTTCAAAATCAGAGACGAGGGCAAGAGCGTGTCTCAGAGGAGGAACAGTGATTCGGGGGAGAAAGACCTCAGAAGTTCAGGATGTGGACCCTTGGTGGAATGTGAGACAAGTGAGGGGAAGGGGCGGTGGGGGTGAGGGATGCCCTCCGGGGGAGCCTATGTCCTGGAGAGCAGGATTACAGAAGGACATGGGAAGTGGTGCATGGGCTAAGGCCCCCACGGACTGACCCACAGGAGCCAGAAGGCAAGGGTGGGCAGCAGGGTGGGAGCCCCGCAGGAGACAGAGGAGGGTGGGCCAGGGCACACAGCTGGACGCTTGCCTCACCTCCATGCCCTGGACCTTCAGCTTCATATGGTCCTCTCTCGTGGTCTTCCCATCCTTCCGCTTCTTCCACAGGTAACCGTCCTTCCGGTATTTCACCTTCTTGCGGTTGTAGAGGATGATGGAGCCGTTCTGAGGCCTGATGGGGGGAGGGCTGGCCCTGAGTTCTGTGGGCAGGATCCAAGAGCCCCGCCATTCCCATCTTCACACACCCGCTCACCTGGTCTTCGGGGCACAGGATAGCCACTCATCATGCTTCTCAAAGGTGATCAAGTAGGATGCAATCTCCTGTGAAAGAAGGGACACTCAGGTGGGGGTCCCCTCATAGAGTCTGGGCCTAGCCTCCCACATGGGTCCCTCATTCTCCCTCTCTGCTGCGCTCTGGTGGCTAGTGGAGGCTCATCAAGGACCACTGCCCTCCTAAGAGTCCCAGGTCCCATCTGAGAGATGAGTCTAATCTCTCCTTCCCTCCCTGTCAGCTTGAGTCTTTATCCTGGGGCCAAATCCAAACTCTTCCTCCTCTGTCCTTCGTGCCACATATGATTTTACTTTCTAAATCCCATCTTGGTGCCAATTCCTGGCTCCAAAAACCTCAATGGCTTGACGCTGCCAGGAATTCCGGATTCCTCAGCCTGACTCCACGGTTCTCCCAGACCAGGGATAAAACTGCCACTCCCATGATTTACCTATATTCCACCTACTGTTCCTGCCAGACCAGGCCACAGATTCTTCTCTGAATATGCCCTGAGCAGTGAGCTCCTGATTGTTAGTATCCCATGGGCCTGAAATACCACACACACATTTCTCTGTGTGTGGACACCCTAGTCACCCCAGAGACCACATCTGTTCCCAGATCTCCACGAAGCCCCACTCACTGCCCTGGCCTCCCCCCACTGCATTTTTGGCAAGAACACACACAGAATAGCCTCATGCTGACCACTCTCGTCTAATGAAATCATGGAGCTGATGATGATCGAGCACCGGGTACACACGAAACATTGTATGTGGGGGGCTTGTAAGGTGGATAACACGAGAATGATGCCTCCAGCAAGAGCCAGCGTCAGTGGTGGTTAAGGCAGAGGCTCTGGAATTAAATAAACTCCGTAAGATAGACCAGTTTCCTCCTCCACAGTGCAAGGAGAACAAGTGTTTGCTCTACAGGGTCCTTAAAGGACAGAATGAGACAACTCAGTTCAGGTGCTTAGCACAGTACCCAGTTTGTAAGAAATATTTTGCTGCCACTTGCTGTTGCCTTTAACCAGGTGGATAAGCCCAGCAGTGAGCTCCCACAGGATGCAGGTCCTTATACCTCCTCTGCAACCCCCAAAGACCTCAGAGCAATATTCTGCACTCAAGAAGACTCCCATTCACAGTCCCCCAGCCCATCCTGCCAGGCCCCACTCCCCTAGGGCTCCATGGAAGACCTCATTTGTATTCCACCGTAGACGCTCTGGAGGCAGCAGTGGACAGCGAGGAAGACACTCCAGCAGCTTCTTGGGGAGAAAGATCTTCAGGTGGTGGCTGTTCTCTAGAGGGAATCAGAAGGGAGGGCTTAGCGAGCCGAGCCGCCTTGGACACCTCCGACAGCCCGGGGCAAAGGGACTGAATCCCAAGCGCTAGGGAGAACTGGAACCATGACCAGGAGGAGAACAGAGGTCACCCTGAATGAGAAGTGGAGGGTCAACACAGCCGGGAGAAAGAAGGGCTGGGAACCTGGGCTGAGAACTCACCAGCAACCTCGGTGGTATCCTTGGTATTCATGGTGAGGGCTCCAGGGGGCAAGGTCACCCCCGGCCTGAGGGGCCGGGGGGAGGGGGAGTCTGTGCTGGGAAGGGAGAGAACAGAGTCATGGCAGAAGCCCCCTCTCCACCTCCCCACCCCCACTCCCGATTGACACAGGATGAGGATGAGCTGGGAGAAGGATACTGGGTGGTGAGATCCAGGAAAGACAGGAGGAGAAGGGGCCACACTGACATGTGAGGGTAGTGCTGGGAAGGCCCTTGAGGGAAAATCCAGACCTGGTGCCAGGAACCTGCTTGGGGGGCGGGAACGAGACACACCGACAGAGTCATCAGAAGACACAAGTGGGGTGGGGGAGGGGGAGGGCCCACGGCAGGGGCTCTCTCATAGACGCTGGGACTGCGGTGGGGTCAGGGCCCTGGGGGCTGGGACGCCGGGCACCTGGTCCTAGGAGCTCGGTTGGGCAGATGAGAGCCTGGGTGCTGGGGTGAGGGCAGGAGACCCAAGTCCACTGAAGAGCTAGGCCATACAGGGCACACCCTGAGTTCCTTCTCGGTTTGCGATTTGCAAGGGCAGATGTGACGACTGATCCTAACCTCCTCCCTCTCAGGCAGGTTGGGCAGACCCCGTCAGATCGTCAGATCGGGCCAGGTACCCAGGCCCCCATTTCCACCCTCAAGACAACCCATCCTCCACTAGGAGGCCGACGGCCCGGCCCGGCCCTCCCCTCCCCCACCAGCGCTCTCCCCCATCGCCTCTGCCTCCCCTGGACGCCAAGCACCCCCGTACCCCATCCGCCGCTCTGGCTCCAGCCCGAGCCCCCACCCTCCCGAGGAAACAGATGGGAGCTGGAGGATGCTCTCAGCGCGGGCTCCGGGCGACGAGCTCCGCCAGGTGTCCGGGGTGCAGAGGGGAGGAGGCCCGTGCGCGCAAGCGGTGTGCAGGGCAGCCGGGTCGGCGTGAGGACTCCGCCCCAAGGCGCAGGTGCGCAGTCCCGGCCAGGCAGCCTGCCAGGGTGCGGAGCGGCCCGGGGCGGGGGTCCCCGGAGAAGCCCCGACGTGCAAGGGTCGGCCTCCCGCCTGCACGCAGGGCGCCCCGGGGACGCCGTGGGGCAGAGCCCAAGGGCGCGCGGCGGCAAGGCCGGGCGGGGGACCGGGACTAGGGGTCCCCCGTGGGTGCCGGCGCCGCAGGTCGGCCGCGGGGCCCTGCGCGGAGCGGCGCCCCCTGGCGCGGGGGAGGAGGACGGGAGCCGGCGTGGGGGCGAGCCGGGGTGGCGGTGGGGCAGGGGTCCCCGAGCCACGCCCGGCGGCCTGGCCCCGGAGCTGCGCCCCCTGGCCCGTGGGCGGAGAAGCGGGCGAGAGGCCCCGGGTCTTACCTCCCGGGGTCCCGCGGGTGACGGCGGCAGCGGCCATTCTACCCCACACCGATTCCCCCCCCCCGGCGCCCGCTGACAGCGGCGTCCGACGTCACTGCGCACGGGGCGGGGCCTCCCGTTAAGGGGATGGGGGCGCGGCCGGGCAGCCCCGGGTGGCGGCCGCCGGGCTGGGGGCGCGGGGCGCCGGGTAGGCCGGGGCCGGCTTCTGGGGTCGTGGGGGCGGGGGCTCGGCCGCCGCCCAGAGCCCCGGCCCAGAGAGCGGGGCGCGGCGGCCCGAGCGCCGGGGACCCTGGGCTCCGCGGGACCCGGCCCGACTTCACTTCAGGTCCCCGAGGAGGGGACGGCGCCCTCCTTCCCCTCGAGCCTCTCCAACACCCGTAGAAAGACACACTGGGCTCGGCTTGCTTGCTTTTTAATACCGGAACTCAAGGCGGAGCACCGAGCCAGGAGCGGGCCTGGGGGCCGCGGAGGCATCTGCGGCATCCTCACTCCTCAGACTGCACCGCCGTCCCCCAGGGGTTGCACAGGGGCTGCCTGCTGGCTGTGACAGCGGTGCAGGAGGCCAGAGAGCCCAGCCGCCCCGGGAGGCAAGACCCGCCCTGGCCCCGGGGGCTCCAGGGTGACCAGACCAGCTGTAAGGATGAGAAGAACAGGAGAGGCCGTCGCTCCGGGTTTCCTAGCCCCCCGCCCGGGGCCCAGGCCGCCACCGCCGGCCTGTTTTGTCCCTCACCAGCCCAGCTCCCCAACCTGGCTCCAAGCTTCCCCTGTCTCTCCAGGCAAGTCCAGCCCCCCCACCCCACACCCCACCAGGTCCCTCCACCAGACCTGGGGCCTGCCAGTGGCGAGAGGGTGGCCCTCTTCCTGTGGATAGGCAGCCCTCTCCTCTTCCAGATCCTGATATTTGGAGGTGCCAGGGACTCTGTAGCTGCCCTCAGCGAGTGCCAGGGGCTCACAGGCAGCCCCAGAACCGCCCCACTGGGCCTTCTTCTCTCTGTGGGGACTTGAGGGTTAAAACCCAGTGCCTGGAGGCCAAGCTTCCCGACTCTCCCTGGGACCCAGGGGTGTTATCACTGGATGTCCAGCCCTCCACGCCCCCCCTTCCTGCTCCCCCCAGACTGAAGGACCCTCCTGTCCGCTGTCCTCCAGTTCCCTGGATAGCTCTCAAGTCTTCCCTGATGCACTTCGGCTCCCTGCAGCTCCTGTGGCTCATCCTCCACCCTTGGTTCCCTCCCAGTCTCTTCAGGGTGGAGGGCCTGCCCTGGTCACTCCGAGTACAGCCTCCAACTCCTTCAAAGCCCTCCACCCCTTCTTCAGTTCAAACCCTCCTGCCCTCAAACCCTGCGTGGCTCCCAGAGTGCAGGTGTCTCTCTCCTTACTCATTGATGAGCCTCTGTCGCCTTCTCAGATCCTCCAGGTGATATGCGACAGCCCTCACCCGGGCTGGGATGCACCCAGGTCCCTGCTGCATTCCCGCCACCTGGGTCCTCCTTCTCTTTCTTCTGCAAAGCACCTCCGGGGGTGGGAGCCCCTCAGGGGGGTTCAGGCCAGGCTGGGAGCAAGTAGGGACTCTCTGTGCCCCAGAATGGGGTGAAAGGGGTCAGAGGGCAGAACGGGGTCTCTCAGGAGGCCTTGGGCTGAAACAGGGACACGGGGATCTTGGGAAGCTCAGATGGTGAAAGCAGGGTGACTGATACAAAGAAAGGAGGCGTGGTGAGTGCACGGGTTGGGGGACACCAGAGGGAGGAGGTAATAAGGTCAGCTAAAGATAGCGTGCCAGTGGGTACCAGTTTACCCAAGACGTGCCCCAGGGCATAAAGTTGGTCATACCAGCAGGGGTGGGGCATACTGTTCCTCTGTCCAGGTGGGGCTGTAAAGCACAAAAGGAGAACTTTGTATACAGGACACCCCCATCTGTACTTTGTCTCTGACCGCTTCCCATCCCCCCATCTGTCTGGCAGTAGGAGCTATGGTGTCCATTGGTCAGTGGGCCAGCTGGGCCAGACGAGGGCTTGTTGCTGTAAGGCTCAGTGTAAAACCATCCAGCATTTCTTCCCCCTCCTTTTCTGTGCTCTACCCACCTGGGCCTCTGGCTAAGGTTCTCCCAGAAGGTGTCTCTGTAACGCTGGGGCATCAGCCCGAGGTGCTGGGGAGGCAGGCGGGGGGATGCGGATCGGCTGATGACTCTGGAACACCTGAGAAGAGGACACAGTCGGCTTGGAGCTGGCTCATCCCCCACAGTATCTCCTCCCTCCAGGGACAAGCTGTTCCCCTCTGTGTGGGCCCACATGATCTCTCAACCATTTCAGCAGAGGAGGTGGTGAGATCTCTGATCTGGGAGACTGGCAGTCATTTGAGCCTCAAATCTCACCGAATCTCCCACTTCTATGCCCCGCACCCAGAGAACATCACATTCAGTTATTAAAGAGGAAGGCCCCAGCCACTCACACGGGCACGTTCCGTCCTGTCAGTGCAAGGACCCAGCAGAGCAGGACCTCTGTCGACTCCTACTTTGTCTCCCCTAACTCAGAGAAACTACTGTCCTTTAGGTAACAAGGGATGTGCAGAGCAGTTTGAGAACAGGGCTCAGTACTTCCAAAGGCCCTACCCTGGATGCCACCTGCTCTCCTGCTCCCCAGGGCAGTGTCCTAAGGCTGGACCTGGGCCCTCTCTTCTCATCTCCATTTATCCTTCTGTGATCTCATCCAGGCCCTTGACTTATATACTATCATGTGTTGAGCAACACCCTCAGCTCCTCCCCTGGACTCCAGGGCATGTTCAACTACCCACTCCACATCTCCCTCGCCTTCCCCACCTCAGGGAAGATGCCCCAAATGCCCAGTTGCTAGAGCAAAAAAAAATCTGGTATCGCTCAACTTTCTTTCCCTCAACTCCCACATCCAGTCCAGCAGCAACTCATGTCATTGTACATCTAAGATATACCCAGATTTTACTTTAAATAAAAAAACTTAAGAAAGTTTCACCTAGGGGATCCCTGGATGGCTCAGTGGTTTGGCACCTGCCTTCAGCCCAGAGCATGGTCCTGGAGTCCCAGGATAGAGTCCTGCATCGGGCTTCCCACATGGAGCCTGCTTCTCCCTCTGCCTGTGTCTCTGCCTCTCTCTCTCTCTCTGTGTTTCTCATGAATAAATAAATAATATCTTTTAAAAATTTTTTTCACTTAAATTTTAGAAAAGGGGTGTGTGTGGTGCCTATCTGGCTCAATAGATGGATCATATGACTCTTGATCTCGGGGTTGTGAGTGCAAGCCCCACACCTGGCATGGAGCCTACATTAAAAAAAATTTTTTTAATTTAAAAAGAAGTTTCACTTAGGGGCTTCTGGGTGGCTAAGTGGGTTAAGCATCTCTCTTTAGCTCAGGTCATGATCTTGGGGTCCTAGGATCGAGCCTTGTGTTGGGCTCCCTGCTCCATGCTTTTCCCTCTCCCTCTGCCTGCCACTCCCCTGCTCATGCACTCTCTGTCAAATAAATAAAGTTAAAAAAAAAGTTTCACTTAAATTTTTAAAGCTTCAAAAAATATACTTGATTTGACCACTCCTCACCTTTCCACTTCCACCGCCACTATTCCTGCCCAGACTGTTGCAATAGACCCCTCCTGCTCTCCCTGCTTCCGTTCTACCCCTTCCCCCCATCATCTCTTCTGCCCAAAGTAGTGTGACTAACCCTTTAAACAGGGTCATGTGAGGGACACCTGAGTGGCTCAGTGGTTGACCATCCATCTGCCTTCAGCTCAGGGCGTGATCCCGGGGTCCTGGGATGGAGTCCCACATCAGGGTCCCCGCAGGGAGCCTGCTTCTCCCTCTGCCTGAGTCTCTGCCTCTCTCTGTGTCTCTCATAAACAAATAAATAAAATCTTTTAAAAAACACAGGGTCGGGATCCCTGGGTGGCGCAGAAGTTTAGCACCTGTCTTTGGCCCAGGGCACGATCCTGGAGACCCGGGATCGAATCCCACATCGGGCTCCCGGTGCATGGAGCCTGCCTCTCTCTCTCTCTCATTCTGTGTGACTATCATAAACAAATAAAAATTTAAAAAAAAAAACACAGGGTCGTGTGAAATGAGACACAGTTTGAGATTTACTTCAAAACAATCTCCGTAGGAGGAGGCTGGGTGGTGGTACAGATGAAAGGATCACCTGTAGAACGATCATTTTTGAAGCTGGTTGAAAAGGGTACGCTGGCTGCATGATGATTATTTTCTCCACTTTGGTATTTATTTGAAATTTTTCACCATAAAGAAATTGGAGAGAAAAAAAAAGTCTGCTCATGTCATTTCCCTGCCTAAAACCTTCCACTGATGTTCTACAGTCCTTAGCATAAAATCCAAATTCTTTTTGTCCCCCCTTTTTTAAAGATTCCACCTATTCATTCATGAGAGACACACAGAGAGAGAGGCACAGACACAGGCAGAGGGAGAAGCAGGCTCCCTGCGGGGAGCCCCATGTGGGACTTGATCCCGGGTCTCCAGAACCACACCCTGGACCAAAGGTAGCTCTAAACCACTGAGCCACTAGGGCTGCCCTAAAATCCAAATTCTTATCAATGGTTTATGAGGTCCTATATGAGCTGGCCTCTCCATGACTGACTTGACTCTTTACTTTCCCCTTGATCACTAAGTTTCCGTCACGTGGGCCTGCTTCCTGGTCCTAGAAGATACTAAGCCTCTTTTCTTTTCTTTTTTCTTTTCTTTTCTTTTCTTTTCTTTTCTTTTTCTTTCCTTCTCTTTCTTTTCCTCTCTTCCTTTCTTTTAAAAGATTTATCTATTTGAGAAAGCAAAGCATGGTGGGGGGGGGGAAGGACCTGAGGGAGAGGGAGCAGCAGGCTCCCCACTGAGAAGGAAGCCTGATGATGATGATGATGATGATGTGGAGCTCAAACCCAGGACCCTGGGATCATGACCTGAGCCAAAGGCAGATATCTAACTGACTGAGGCAACCAGGTGCCCCTATTTCTTTCTTTCTTGGGGTTCTCCCTCCTCCTATTCCTTCTTCTCCCCTCACCCCTCCTACCCCACTATTATCAGACTGGCTGCTTCTCATCTTTCAGATCTCAATTCAAACTCATCTTCCCAGAATAGTCTTCCACAACCACCGTATCTAAACTTGTGCCTCCATACTTTTTAAAGATTTATTTGATAGAGTGACAGAGAGAGAGAACATGAGCAGGTGGAGAGGCAGGCAGAAGGAGAGGGAGAAGCAGACTCCCTGTTGAGCAGGGAGCTCAATGTGGGACTCAGTCCTAGGACCCGGAGATCATGACCTGAGCTGAAGGCAGCAGCTTCACTGCCGACTGAGCCACTTAGGCATCCCTCCAGGACATTCTGTTTCCCATTTTATTACACTCCTTTTTAATTTTTTTTCATGCTATTTCTTACTCATTGAAATTATATTTACATTTGGACGTTCTGTGTCCACTCTCCCAAACGTAAGTCCTATCTTTCTAATTATTTGAATCCCTGGTGCTTACTCTAGCATCTAGAACATTGTAGTTCTAGACAAAAAAAAAAAAAAAGTATTCGTGGAACAGATTAATGAATCATTGATCCCCTGTGGACCAGGCATTGTACCTCTTCTTCCTCATTTGCTACTCCTGTTGGGCAGGGGGCCATGGCAGGGGCGGGGAGAAGCCAGGTAAGCGTCTTCCCTCCATCCCATCCCCACTGGGAGGGGAGGACTCACTTGGCAAAGGGCATGAGTGTGTCTTCATCCTCCTGTACCTGTACAGCTGAGCCCGGCTGGGTGGCTGGACCAAGTCTCCTCATTGGTGCTGGGGGGTGGGGGGCGCTGGATAATGGAAGATGAAACATTCACTCATATCACAGCTGTAGATATGCCACCAGCTCAAATCTAGGGATTGGAAAGAGGGTTTGTGGTTCGGGGGAAAGGGAAGTGAGCTCAGCAGATATCTCCAGTGTTGGGCACATCTATGAGCTGGACAGGCACACAGGCTAAAGATGTCCCCCAGCGCAGGGCGGTGGGCATTCAAACGTAAATCAGGACATTAATTTTCTGGAGCCAAAAGTACAGAGTAAGGGAGACCTACAGATGACAGTTCCGAGGACGGGAGGGCAGGACAGGTGGAGACTAGATGGGGCAGAGGTATTGGGGTCGTGGGACCAGGATCGGTGGCTGGGGGCACCCAGACATCCGAAGGGGTTAAGTAAAGCAGGTGTGAGGGTTCCCGGAAGCCGCGTGGGGGCAGAGTGATCCACTCAGAGGAGGGAGGGCGCGGCCGGGGCGGCGGGCGGACAGGTAAAGGTGAGCAGGCAGGTGGGCTGCAAGGAGCCAGACTCGGGGGCGGGAGGTGGCGGGCGGGCCGGGCGGGCAGGGCAGGAGAGGACGCCCCAGGGGCGTCAGGAGAGCCTGCGGGCGGTGAGGAGCCCGCGGTGAGGAGCTCTAGGGCGCCCTCGCTCTCGGGGGGGGGGGGGGCGCAGCTAAGAGGGGCGGCACTCGGCCGCAGGCGGGGGGCAGGCCGAGGCCCCGGGCAGGTGCAGGCCGCGCCGGGGCTCGGGAGCAGCAGCGGGACGGCGGCACCGGGCGAGGCGGAGGCCCGGCCTGAGGCTGGGCGGAGAGTGGGGGAGGCGGGCCCGAGACGGTACCGGCTACCGGCTGAGGCGGCGGCCGGCCTGCGGTGCCTGCGCCACCTGCGGGTCGGGGCCGGGGCCGGGGCCGGGGCCGGGGCCGGGGCCGGGGCCGGGGCCGGGGCCGGGGCCGGGCTCTCGGCACCTGAGGCGGCGGCGCGGCGAGTGCTAGAACGCCAGCCCGGCCGGGCGCCGAGGAGAGCGCTGCTGAGGAGAGCGCTGCTGAGGAGAGGAGAGCCCAGGGGCAGGGCCGGCGCGCCGCGCGGTCGGGGGCGGGGCCACCTCCTGGGCGGGGCGCGACGTGCGGCTCCGCCCCTGGGCGCGCCTCCTACGACGGCGACGTGCGCGGGTCCGGTGCGCGGGTCCGGGGCCCGGGTCCCCTCCAGGGCCCGCCCCCCCGCCCCCCGTTCACCCCCCCCTTCTGCGGCCGCCCGGGGCCCGCTCCTCGGGCGCCATCACCCTCCCGCGAGCGGGCGTCCCGCGCGCCTCTCTGCGCCGGTCCGCGCCCGGTGGGCCCCACAGCCCGGGGGCATCGCCCCTGTCACCGCAGCCGGGGCGCTCCCAGGCCCGAGTCGGGACTGCGCGCGCGCCCGTCCGTCCGCCCGCGTGCGCGCGCCCGCCGGTCCCCCGCCCCTCGCTCCCGCCCCAGCTCGCGCTGCCCGGGCGGGCGCCGGCCGCTGGCGCCGCCGCTGCTGCTGCCGCCCCCGGGGCGCGAGTCCGCCGCCCTCCGCCCCGGGACCCGGCGAGGGGCGGGGGCAGCCCCGAGCCCGCTCCGGATCTGCGGCCGCCGTCTCACGGCCTCTCCGACCCCTTTCCCCGGGAAGGTCGCCCCGGTACCCTCCGCCGAGTCGCTCGGGGAGCCCCGCTGCGACGAGGTGAGCGCTGCGTGGGGGGGGCAGGGAGGGGGAAGGGACGCCCGCCGAGGAATGTGCGGGGCTGGGGGCGGGGAGCCGGGGTCCCGGGCGGCCGCTGGAGCCGGGGTCATGTGCTGTTTGTCCCGCGGAGGCGCACGGAGGTGCCAGGCCCGAGGCGGCCGTCGGGCGGCGGGCTGAGGGGGAGCACCGGGTCCGCATGGCCGCCCGCACAGGACGGGACCCGGGCCCTGCGGGGCGAGCTGCGGCAGGTGCCCCCCGGGGCCGGCCCCTGTGCCGCCCTCTCCCCTGCCCAGTCCCCGTCGTCGTCCCTGCCCCGGCCGGGGTCTGGGGGGTCAGGGCTGTGCTTCCTGGCACGGCCTCTGTGATGTGAGCTCCTCCCTTCCTGTCCTGGGATACACCAGCCCCGACCCCCCTTCCCGTGCCCTGCCCAGGAAGGCTGCAGAGGTGAGGCCCCGGCAAGACCTGCAGGAAGGGGGTTTGGGCCTGGGGGGCCGCAGCCAGGGCCCCGCATCCCCGTCTGCCCTCGCCAACCTCCACCCTTCTCCTGCCCATGGGCGTGGGCTGCTCAGCCTCTTCTTCCAGGGTGTGAGCACTGGGGCACCCACATTCCTGGGCTCCAGCCTGGCACCTTCCCCAGGGCGCTGGATGCAATAGCGCTGGCCCCAGGCTGGGGCTGGAACCTGCCTGCTTCCTTTCGGGGAGCCCCCAGTGCTTCCTGGTCCCACAGTAGGGACACAAGTATTTCTCGGGGATCCCCCAGCAGAGGAGCCCTGGGGGTTGGTATGATGGATACAGGATGACCCCACCCTCCTCTGCCCATTGTCCTGGATTCTGAGAAGGAAGTGCTGGGGCTGGGGCCTGGGCGAGGAGTTTGGGGAACACTGGCCGGCCCGCATCCCTGGATCCCCATCCCGGGTTGTATCCCCAGCCCTTGGACTTTGCCCACTGGCAGTAACTCTCTGTGTGGAGGTTGTGGGCTCTGGGTGGGAGCTAGTTCCTACTTCTTGGCTGGCCCTGTGGGGGAATTCTAGGGCAGGTTTTATGAGGGGGTTTCTCTCTTATCTCTCCCAGGCCCCACTTAGTGCTGTGGCCCCAAAGCTGCCCTCCCTGCCTGATGTTTCTGTGTTTGCCATCTTCTGCAGCTCCCTCTCTTCTTCTTCCATTATTTGCTGGGTTGCGTGACCTCGATCTCGCGTCCTGTCTTGTGTTTTTCCCTTTCTTGGTGTCTGTGATTTTCTGCCACTCGTCTGCCCCCTCTTGCTGCCACCTTCAGTGTCTCTGCCTTTGCGTCCCCCTCTCTGAGCTGCCCTCTGTCCAGTCTCTCTCTCTCTCTCTTGTGTATCTGGACGTCCAGTACATTTGGAGTGACGGGGAATAAAAATATCACGGTCCCTGTCCTTGGGTTCACATTGCATTTGGCCACTCGGGAGGGACCGCTGTCCTTACCTTTCCTAATGTGACCCTCTGCCCCTGCCCTCCGGCCGTGGAACCCCTGACCTACCTCTGGAGCCACAGGTGCCTCCTAACCACTCTTCCCCTACAACCAGGGTTTCCCCCACAGCCCCAGCTGGTGTGGCCAGGCCCCAAGGGTAGGATGGGGCTCCCCCTCCGAGGGCCAGTGGCAGCCAGAGCTGATACAGCCCCCCCGGTGTGGGGCCAGGACACCAGGTAACTCTGCGATGATGGTGCAGGTCCCTGAGAGCTGGGATACGGCCGGGGAAAGAGGCAGGAACACCGTTGGGAGGCCCTGCGGACAATGACTTTTGGGAGGAAGGCCAGAGGACCAGGAGCAGGGTCCTTGAGGGGCTGGCTAGCCGGGGAAGGGAGTGGCGATGCTAGTTCCTGGGGGAAGAGGGGAGGCGGCATCTGGGTCGCCCCAGGGTCTCTGACCACCTCTTCTCTCTCTGTCCTCCAGCTGAGGAGGGTGAGAGGATCGGGAACCATGGCTGGCGCCTCAGTGAAAGTGGCAGTGAGGGTTCGGCCCTTCAACGCCCGTGAGACCAGCCAGGATGCCAAGTGTGTGGTCAGCATGCAGGGCAGCACCACCTGTGAGTGAGTCCCAGGGGCCTGGCCAGGCACAGGCGGGGCAGCCAGGCCCACCACACTAGCCTGGCTGGCCTGGCTGGCTGGGCCGAACCGGGAGGAGGGCTGGGCTGGGTATGAGCAGGTGCTAGTCCAAAGGGTGGGGGTGGGGTGGGGGCAGGCTGGCCTTTCCCTGCTCCCAGTCCCTGGGAGGGGGAATGTTGGCCTGGAGCCCTCCATTGCCCAATCAGGGAGGCAGCCTGCTGGGGGGCGGGTCCTGGGAAGCCAAAATTAGCCATGGTGGCTGGAGGGGGGTGGGGAACATTAAAGGGGTGAGATGTTTAAGATAGAGGTGGGGAGTGGGCTGCCTGGATTCCTGCAGCATGGGCGAGTGCCTGACCTTGGCCATCCTGTCTTTCCTTCTCCTGTCCTGTCAGCCATCATCAATCCCAAACAGAGCAAGGATGCCCCCAAAAGCTTCACCTTTGACTACTCATACTGGTCGCACACTTCGGTGAGGTTGCTGGGGTGAGGGGAGAGCTGAGCGGTGAGGGACAGGGGTTCAGGTCCTGGGGAGGGGGCACTGCTGGAAATAGGACCTCCAGGGGATGGGTTGGGACTGGGATGGGAGGGCCAGGACCAGGGTGGGGAGGGGGAGTCCCAGGGGATAATTGGGTCTGGCAGGAGACTGCATAGGACTGTGAACCGGGTTGGCTGGGGTCCCATAGATCTCTAGGTGATCAGCAGCAATGGGGTCAAGGCCCTTGGGACCTAGACCCTAAGGACGGAGTGAGTGATGTAGGGCTCCTGCCGTGTCTCTCCACCCCTGCTGCCCTAGGCTGAGGACCCTCAGTTTGCCTCTCAGCAGCAGGTGTACCGGGACATCGGGGAGGAGATGTTGCTCCACGCCTTCGAGGGCTACAACGTGTGCATCTTCGCCTATGGGCAGACCGGGGCTGGGAAGTCTTACACCATGATGGGGCGGCAGGAGCCAGGGCAGCAGGGCATCGTGCCCCAGGTATATGCCTGGGACTTGGCAAGGTGGCCGGGCAGCGCATCCTCAGCTGCCTCTGGGGAGAAAAGGCCTGAGGATTGTGGACCGGAGACCTGGGTTTCTCAGGCTGCTGTGGTGGGGGAATGGGGTGGGCCACTACAAGGACCCCCAGGGTCCCACGGGGAGGGGTCTTTGCGCCTCCCAGAAGCAGCAAAGCATCGTGAGAAGAGCCAAAGCCTTGTCAGAGAACCCTGGGTTTGAACCCTGGTTCTTTTTCTGGCTGCTGTCTTATCTGGTCTCATGCTGGCGTGTGAGTGTGGTTCTCTTGCAGATGTGTGTATTGTAGTGAGGGTGTCACCTGTAGGGAAAGCTGGGTGTGGGTAACCAGAAGTTGACTGTAATTCTCCCTGACCATGCGACATGATGGTCTGGCCCACGGGCTCTGATGTTGGGATGCTTCCTGGCTCACCGGATATTGGTTGGTGACCCAAGGCCAGTGTGAACCTCTCTGAGGTGGTTGTCCCTTCTGTAAAATGGGAACATCTGCTCCCTCAGGGCTGTGGTCGGGGCTGGGGGGAGAGAGAGCCACTGGGGCCAGGGCCTGGCAGGTGTGTCATGAACAGCTGCTTCTCTGTCCACTTGCAGCTCTGCGAAGATCTCTTCTCTCGTGTTAATAAGAATGAGAGTGCTCAGCTTTCTTATTCTGTGGAGGTGAGCGTGGGTCTTGGTGGGGCTGGGAGAGGGCACGGTGGCCCCCAGGTGGGG